TATTTAGATTTACTTCAGCGGCTGCACACAGAGAGTAGAACAAAGATGTCCAAGATGTCTTCCGTTACTTTGATGGCTCTTGTTCTGTCTGCAGGTAAACAAATTTAAACTTTGTCAAACAAATGTGTCATAATAAAGTTAACTTTTGAAGACAAATATAAATTTAATTGAAAACTGGATAATGTCATCTATTACAGTTCTGTATGATACGGTGTCTGCCTGTACTCTATGTACTGCTATTTCAGGATCAGGTACATGCGAGTAAGTACATTCGTTCACTTCTGCTTATGTCTTAATTTTACATCCACACCTTTTTCTTTTCCTGGTAATGTTCCCTGCAGGAAGGCCATCGCGAGCCTGAGGACATTATGATATGGTCATAAAATTTTAGTTTGCTTTTTTTTTTAAACCGGTTCATTACGGGACCTATTGCTAGTGTATAATCTAGCTTCGAATGTCCTTGTTTGTGATGCGGTCTTTGTAGAATGATGTTGTAAATTTATATAAGAAAAGTCAAGTTCCCCTTTCAGGACCTTGTGATCTATAGGGCAAATGATGTAAAGGTCATCTGTTTCTGTGGCCCACGGTTAACAAGGGTGTCATGTGGCCAGCACAACGACCAAATCACCTTTACTTTTCCAAACTAATGCCAGGTACCCAGAGGCGCCCTATAATCCCAGAATTCAAAATCACAGTCCTCACCAGGATTCGAAACCGAAACCACTCAGCCACCGCGCCTCCAAATTTATATACAATATTGAGAAAACATGTCTCTTTCAAATGTTTTATTGAACAAGAATGACAAATCTGTTCACACAGGCACAGGCTTTAAGCAAGTTTGTCACACCAGTACCATATAATTCACAAATTCACTATGGATACCTGGTTTACTTCTATCTCTCAATTTCCTTGCTAGGATCCTTATCTCTAAGTTTTGCAGTTAGGGCTCAAGATGATGAAACATACGAGAATTTGGTAAAAACCAAAGCGTGCATCAGTTTTAAAGTTCCCCTTTTCAGACCTTGTTGTCTACAGGGCTGATGATGTAAAGGTCATCAGTTTCCGTGGCTTAATATTAAAAGGGTGTCACGTGGCCAGCGCAACGACTTTTCCCCAACTAATAACAGGTACCCATGAGACTCAGAGACGCCCAAAGATCCCGAAATTAAAAATCCCAGTCTTCACCAGGATTCGAACCCCTGTTTTTTACGGCTCAGCCACCGCGCCTCTGCCATCATTCGGATATTTAGTTCAAAATCCTAGGCCCAGTAAGTCTAAACTTTCTATATATTACATTCTCGACTTTTACTATGTCAAAAAACTCCACCTTAAGAAAATGTGGCCCAATGGCGTTTTGTTGCACGCTGAGCAGCACAAACCATTTTCTGGAAGTCTGCAGCGCTCTATGTATTTTTGCTTTAAACAACGTTGGTCAGTAGGGTCTGAACGGCCCCTTTTGAAATGTCGAGGACAATCGAAACATTTCCATTTTATAGTGATCGTCGTAAGCTAAAATTATGCTAGGACAAATTTGTACAAATACTCCTTCTTCCCTAGTGCTATTAGAGCATGGAATGGGTTGCCTGAGCTAGCCAGGAAAACCAGTGACTTGGCAGAATTTAGGTCATTGGTTAATATGCATGACGCGTAGGACGTAATCATCTTCTTTTGTGAAGTAACGTCTGTATTATATAAGATATGATAAGCTGATAGTTATAACTATTAATGCCATAAATTCGTTTATTCTATAAATATTTGTTCTTCTATTTTACCTTTAGTGCCTACACCAGCTACATAAACTGTCTGAAGGCGATGTTATCAAACAGCGGCTGTTCTTCTCTTCAAGTGGTTGGAGTCAATACAGCCCTTGCTGCAGCTCAAAGCGCTTTGACACTGTTGTCGTGTTCACGTGAGTACTTAAAACTAAATTCAACCAGACAATGTATTGCACCACTTCTCAGACTTGAAGCAATAACCCTACCAAGCTATGTGCGATATATTGTCACCTATCTAACTTGGCTTTATGTCCACAAATTAGACCGAAGCCACATGGATATAAGGGAACTGAAAAACAAATGAGATAAAACCAAGGAAGAACCATAACTCATGTAACCTGTTCGTTCTATAGAAGAGAACACTTGTGCCCCTTGGTCAATTTATTTCTCGGGCCCAGGATGCAACACGTGATATTTATAAATTGTCTTGCTCGTTCTTGTCAGGGCTGTTTTTACAAAGCTTATTATCAACTCACTCTATGTGTCTGTTATGTCTGGTAAAAAGTTTGTACACGTTTACTTCAACGACACCCCATCTCGGATCAAGCTGAAATTTTGCACTACTATTTTTTTTTACCTGACAACACCAGAATCAATTAAAAACAAATTGACCGATTAGCTAATAAGCTGTTGGTAATAAATTATTTTGTTTTGTATCGTGAACAAGGGATAGAAATTGTACTTGACTAAACTGGTGGGATAAACTGAAAACCAGAATCAATTAAAAAACAAATTAACCGATTATTTATTAAGCTGTTGGTAATCTTTTTTTTATTTTGTTGTTATCTTGAACTAGGGATAGAAATCGTACTACTGGTGGGATAAACTGAATAAGTCCCTTTTTTTTAATGATATATGTCGCCGCTCTAAACTTAAACAAACAATATAAAAGTATATAATCCTCTCTGCTCGTACGTACCTCAATAGCAGAGTGGTTCACCCGAGGAGGATTTCAAATTTTGGTCCTTCACCTTTCCCCCCCCCCCCCTCCATTTTGTGAATGCTTTAGAAACAAATGATGGTTAAATCCACCCTGACATCCCTTTCTTTCTTCGACCCCCCCCCCCCCTCCTTTCCCATTTGTCCAACTTGTCTAGCTTCTTCTTCTTCTTCTTGAAACTGTCAGGTAGAGTTGAGCCTTCGGCTCTTGGAACTCTAGGCCAGCAAAAGTGAAAAAGAGCTCCCTCTCACAGGCCTGAATGAGAACAGTGTACACTGTTCTGTCTGGCGGGGTGTCAGACTCGCGGCCAGAGACCGCGTGTACAGGGACCCCTGCCATTTTTCTTTTCTATACCAGGCTAACCGTGCGGGACACGCCCTTTTTGTGACGGCCCCTTGAGATACGGCGCCTGGATTGTGACAAGGTTGTGGGAGCCTTTTTTACAACTCCGCAGAGTGCAATGAGGAAGCTCTCGCACCCCCTAAGGCACCCCCACGGGAGTCTTGTTTTGCTACCCTTTAGCCTAATCGTTTCCTCCTACGATCGTTTCCACCCGGGCGCCACCATGAGGCAGGGTAACATGCCCTGGAACTTGTCCAGATAAGAGATGGATCCTAGCAAATTAAGAAAGCTATGACACGAAATAGCGCTAAACAAAAACAATTGGTAAAAATATTATAAATCGCACAGATACATTATTGTTGTTGTTGGTCTAGATCTATTACAAATATAATTCATGACTGATCCAGACTAATTGATACAATTACACTTTAAGCTTTTGTTTGGTTTTTTTTAAAGTCTTTTATTTATGTTTTTTTTTTTAAATATTTCAGAATCTTCTGTTGCTGGAAATGGTACAACTACTGCTACAACGTCCATGTTGCTGTTGCTGATACTTCCGTTTTTAACCTACATACTAAGTAGAAACTAACAAATGTTATAGTCAGATAGTAATGTCCAAGTAATGTTGTATGTATGTAAACTTAGTATTGTTCAACACTGTTGGTTCAATTCTTTTTTTTTTTTTTTTAATCCGAGTTCAAATATTCAATAACAGGGAAATATAAAGCAAACATTTTAAAATAATAATAATATAATTTCATTAAATGAACATGCATAATGTAGACCCTATGAGATTATTACATGGCGAATAAAACATCACCTATCTTGAACATTTGGGGAATTATTTCATCTATCTAAGATAGATCTATGTAGACCATTATCTAGTTTTATTTCTCTTAAACCGCACGTGATTTACCAGCTGTGTTGTTATAATAATAGTGTTCTGTAATGTATTGTTAAGTTAGATGACGGATGTAAATTATTTTTTTTACAATGTTTAGTGCTTAGATCAGTGCTTCCCAAACCTTTTTCTTTAAAGCAACACTTCGCACATTCTTAGAATTGAGCCAACTCTTTGATTATTTTTTAGGTTGGATTATTCCTTATTCCAGTGATTCCCAAAGTGGTCTATATAGACCCCCAAAGGTCTACGACGACTTCCAAGGGGTACATGAAAGTGAAAAAAGGAATGGGGGGGGGTCTATGACATGTAAATGGGGGTCTACGGGAGTGGATCACGTTTTAAAAAAGTCGTGACTTTAATTAAAATCTTAAAATTATGTAATTAACAATTATCTTATACAAATATAAATTATTTAAATTTTAATCCTATTGTTCGAATGAAAAATTATTTTAATACCTCATTTAAATAGCTTAATTTAGTCTATAGGGAATTTGTATTTAACTTGGCCAAATATAATTGTGAAATTACACAGTGGTGTTGATTTTCTAAAAAAATTTTCTTGTTTCCATGTCACACTTGTATTGCCTATGTGTCTTTTATGCAACAAGTTTTATTTAGACACTTTGAACCCACCTAAGTTAAAAGATCTTTTGAGACGATGCCACCCTGATAAAGTGGATGAAGATTTTAAAAGCTTTTGAACAATCAATGATAAAGTTGAGAAAAGACCTACAGTGAACAAAATCCTCGATTTGGTATTAAAAAAGAGAATATGATGGTTTGCAAGTGTCTTAAATATGTTTAACTTATTGTGAATTTCGGGAAACATCACACAATAGGCGATAAAATGATTTTTTCATCCACTAAAAAAGTTTTAAGAACTATTTTGTCCACAAACCTACATCTGATAGTATTACACAATTCCTCTAAGCAGCAAAACAATTCAAAGGCAATTGATGAAATGAATTTCTAACAAGGCTGGACGAGTCAAACTTGCCTGGTAATAAACATTTGGTATTGGCGAATGTTCGTTTTAGTACGGGTAAAAAATCCTCGAAAAAAAACTTCTTTTTGCGAAAACTGATAATTAATATTTAATGTTTTGAAAGGACTACTTTAAAGAAAAAGCACTCCTTTTAACTATAATGTCAGTATCAATTTGTGAAGCACCTTTCATGGTTGGGTTCTATTGTGAATAGTGAAAAAAATGGTAGAATTTTTAAATATCTTTAATTTGTTATTAACGCAGTTAACTGAAGCAACATGTTCAATACGCCATCAGTTCGTCCTTCAATATGAAGTTTGATGGCTGTCGAAAAGCTTTATTTTATTTATTTTTTTCTTTTTGACTTTGTATCGGAGCTCTTGGATGTCAAAGATCTAATTTTAAATTGAAATTTAATCAGACTGAAATCAGACATTGCTTATTTAAAGGACTTGTTTCATAAATTCATTTAAGTTTACTTACATGTGGCCATAGGCGTAGCCAGGATTTATTTCGGTTTTTCGGATTTTTATACCCCAACCCCTTCTTAGCAACGCCCATGCATGTGGTTGTTATTACTTTTTCATTCTTCACCTTAAATACGTTAGGAATGATTGGAAAAAGAAAGCACATTGGTAGTACATAAATCAGAAAAATTACAATTCAGCAATATTAGCTAACCAGGGGGTCTACAGAATACTGGAAAACATGACGAGGGGTCTACGCGCCAAAAAAGTTTGGGAACCACTGCCTTATTCGTTTAAGTGAAAAATAATAATAATATAGCCCTATACTATATTTAGCGTTATTTTTATTTTTAAAGTAAAAAAAACTATAATAAAATACAGACATATTAACTATAAAATTTAAGGCGTAAGTACTTACACAGGGATGCACTATTGTAATGATAAGCAGAGTCCTACTATCTGGTGTGTCAAGCCTGCCACTATATCTTGTCTTTTGTTTCAACAAAATTAGAAAATGATGGTTCTCACAAATAGATTGTAGGTTACTAATTTTTTGTTTTAAACTAGTGTGGAACTCTTCAGACAAATAAGACTAGAAATCATTAAAAGCAGATCTTGGTATCCTTGTTTCAAATTAGAGTCGAACCTTGATCAGTTCAAGGTTCATAATGCTGTTAGTACAGGGATGTTATTGGAAATTAATATTTTAGCCACATAATGTATTTCCGTTGTATTAAATCTATAAAAACAATGATACATATCTATGTTTCGTATGTGATTTTATGTTTAAAATTTTTTTTATGTTTAGAAATATTTCTGTCCATTACATTTGGGATTTAAGTTTGTTCTGCAATTTTTTGTTATTCTTCTGACAATATAATGTACACATGTGTTGTAATATTGACCAACAATAAAATAAAACAATTATAGAATACCGTGTTCGAGTTTCTGCATGTTATAATATTAAAAAACAAAGGCATATATTACTTGAATTCATTACATATCACTATGAACAGAACAGAAACCCCCTTTACAAAATGAATCCTTTTGAAATAAATTTTTGACATTTAAAAAAATCAAACACAAACTGCAAAGACACAATGTGATATCATTTCAGTTTATAATTCACACAGGTAGACATAATATGTCGCATGAAACTATTTGTATTCCTTAACAGATTTGCTTATTACCTCCCTTTGTTGATATACCCAAACTAAAATTAGCACTTTTAACATCGAAGAAAAGGATGGTTTCTTGTTCGTTGAACCGTTGTGATGACCTCTCAGTGGTCCCGTGTTCATACCCTGAAAGCTGCCATCCCCTGTTGTCCTGTAGGAGGTTTGGACAAGGTGAAAGAAGGTAAATATCCCCTTTCAGTTTCAGACCTTGCGATCTATAGGGTCACCTTAAAGGTCATAGGTTTCTGTAGCATAAGTTGGTGTCATGTGGCCAGCACAACGACTAACCGCCTTTACATTTCTCCAACTAATGTCAGGTACCCATTATATTTCGGCGGACTCAGTGGCGCCCAAAGATCCCGAAATTAAAAATCCCAAAATTCACCAGGATTCGAACCGGGGAGCCGCGGTTCAGAAGACAAGCACTTTACTGTTCTGCCACAGCGCATCCTTTGACAAGGAAGTAAAGTGTGAATTGAAAAAAAAGAGGCTCAAACCTGATCGCTGAGCGGCTCTTTTCTAAATGCTCATTTAGTCTAATAGCCTCTTTCCAAATTATCTAGGCTCAATGTGTATCAATCATGGGCGTAGCCAGGATTTTTTTTTCATGGGGGGTTAAACCCAAGTAGCCGCCCCCTGACTACGCCCACCGAATCAATCATCAAGTTCTTTTCATCTACTAAATCAGCACCTTATTGATAGAGAATGATGGGGAACGATTACATTGTATAAGTATATATTCATCGTGACCAGGGGCGGACTGGGTGTCGATATTGGCCCGGGAAATTTTCTATAGAATCAGAACCAAAAATTACATAACATTTGATAGACATTCAATTATAGGCATACATGCCCTCAAAATCATTATGTTAAGTTTGAGTACAGTTGACATGAATATAGTGAGCGCTTTATTTCTTTAAGAAATCTTCTTCTTATAAAATAAAGAAGTTACTTCAAAAAAGAAGATGATTATGTTCTACGCGTGTACCTTGGTCAATATAATTCTGTTAACCAATTACTTAAATTCTGCCAAGTCACTGGTTTTCCTGGCTGGCTCAGGCAACCCATTCCATGTTCTAATAGCACTAGGGAAGAAGGAGCATTATTACAAACTTGTCTTAGCATATGGAACAAGGGATGTGCCTTTATCTTTGTGTCTTTCTGGGTATTTTATATAGGCACTATGTTGCTTTTAAATCCCTCGGTGTGTAGCCCCTAAAAGATGAAGCTACTACTAATAGCACTGTCTACTAATGTAGACTATGACATTATTTCGAAAAATTAGTTGATTAAATTAGTATTAGACTGTAGCGAAATTTCTTTTAAACACGACTCTCAGAGGACCCTTTTCATAAAAAAAGATAAATGCTGTAACAATTGAATACATAGAGGCAGCATGCGGCCCTTTCGGTGACTCTACCGGTCCATTTAGGTAACGGCACTGGGCATTTAACCCCAATGCCCATATAACCAGACCGCCCTTGATCGTGTAAAGAAAAATTTTTTAAAAACTCAGCTATCCAATAATGAAAATATTTATTACTTTAAGAAAAAAAAAGGACCAAATTGTTTCGCGCATCATGTCTAGTTGTCTTGCTTGTAGTTTCAACGTGATTTTGTACCTTAGCGAACTGATCACTCCACATGCCTCACAGAGAACACTGCGTTCCATGGACTCAGCGCCTCTAGTGGTGCCACGTTTCTCCCTCAAAAGTAACGGTCTGCAGGCTTTTTCAGTGCACGGACCAAAGTTTTGGAACTCACTCACCATTGATCTCAGACAGACAACATGCTACACAACTTTCAAGAAGAACATTAAAAACTACCTGTTTAAAACTTTTTTAGATAAGTTTGTCATTTTGGCTGTCCTGTTTATGTTTATGTTATCTTATCTTATCTAATATAATACAGCGCCTTGAGCCTACATCATGTTTGTTAACAGCGCTCTATAATTTTTTTTTATAAGGATGGCTGTCCGGTGGTGTGGTTTGCCTTCCGACAAATCAGGACGATTGTTTCAAGATCAAAATCTGTCCTACAAGTCCTACAGTCGTCCTAGAGTCCTATAGCATTGCAGACTGTCATGCGCATTCAAAGTTGGTTCTTTGTTAGGTGTGTTTCTTATGTGCACCATAATAGTTTATGCGCATTTTCTTAGAACGCGCTCTTTAGGTGTCATTGGTGCTTGTTTTTATTTTTTTTTTTTTTTTTTGCTTGGAGCGAATTCTTTACTGGAGCTTTTCTCAGTATTGGGTAAGATAGGTTATTATAATTTCTTCATCGGTTTATAGATCTCAAAACATTGTCGTTATAATCATTTGAATGGCGGTCACAAGGAATACCTATTTTCCTTGTTTAAGGACTCAGGCTTCAGACTCTGCGGAAGTCAAGCCTGATGTATTTCTATATTCTATGTACCCTTCATCCATCCATCCCAGTGGCACTACAGCCCATGGAGGGCTCTGGCCTGCTTCAACACATCCTTCCATTCAGATCGCTTCTTCCCTAGTGCTATTAGAGCACATGGCACGGGTTGCCTGAGCTAGCCAGGAAAACCAGTGACTTGGCAGAATTTAAGTCATTGGTTAATATGCATGACTGAATGCTACTGTTACTGTACTGAAGTACTGAAGTAACGTCTGTATTATATAAGATAAGATAAGATAAGATCTCTCCTGGGCCTTTCGTCTTCACGCCCTAACTCCAAGCTGTTGTAGATCTGCCTCCAAATGGTCGATCCATCGCATTCGGGGTCTGCCTTTGAGTCGCCTGCCTTTTGGTTTTTGCCTGTATACAATTTTGGCTCCTCTGTTATCAGACATTCTTTCAAGGTGACCTGCCCAACGTAGTCCTTTCTTTTTTATTTCTGTCACTATCGGTAGGTCTTCATATAATTGATATATCTCATGGTTAGTGAGTGTCCTTCAGCCTGTTTCATCCTGTATGGCACCATAGATTTTCCTAAGAATTTTCCTTCCCTAGTATTAAGTAGATTTTCGGTTGTCTTTGTTAGTGTCGAGTTCTCACTTTCTGCTGGTCTATTTATGCTTTTGAATATCATTTCCTTATTTTTCCTTGATATTGTTTTGCACTTAAGTAAAATTAAGTAAAGTACCTCAAGGAACAGTCTTAGGTCCACTACTATTTTTAATTTACATAAATGATTTACCAAATTGCATTACTACAGGAACAAAAGTCAGATTATTTGCAGACGATTGCATAATATATAGAACAATAAAAACAAGACAAGACACAGATATTTTACAAAGAGAATTAGATGAATTACAGAAATGGAAATCAAATTGGAGCATGTCTTTCCACCCAGAAAAATGTCAGTTGTTAAGAGTAACAAAAAAACTAAAACAAATTAATTCCACTTAACTTATTCATGGCAAACCAGTAACACAGACTAAAAACACAAAATACTTAGGTGTTATAATAAATGAAAAACTGTCATGGAATCCACATATTGATGAACTTATTTAAAAAATCTAACAAAGCATTAGGGTTTATTATAAGAAATGTCTATAAATCAAATAAGAACATGAAACTAAAATGTTATTTAACCTTGGTTATGCCAATAATAGAATATGCATCCTCCGTTTGGGACCCCTCAACTCAAGATAACATTAAGAGACTGTAACAGACACAAAATAGAGCAGTGAGATTCATAACAAATAAATATTCACATTTGACTAGAGTAACACCTTTAGTAAAATCACTAAATTTAGAAAGCCTTCAGGTCAGAAGACTCAAAAGTAAAGTAGCAATTATACATAAAACACTGAACCATAATCTTCAAAAACAAATACAAAATTTAATAAAATACTCAGAAAGACACAAAGATAAAGGCACATTCCTCGTCCCATATGCTAGGACAAATTTGTACAAATACTACTTCTTCCCTAGTGCTATTAGAGCATGGAATGGGTTGCTTTAACTGGCCTTAAAATTTCCTGGAAACGATGCATGTCGTTACGAAAACACCACGGTGTATTATTTATATCATTCTAAAACTACAATTTGATTACTTTCTGATGCCACTTTTTAAAAACAAAATATCTAGATTTACTTCGGCAGCCTTACAAGAAGTAGAACAAGTCCAAGATGTCTTCCGTCACTTTATTGTCTCTTGTTCTGTCTGCAGGTAAACAGAAATTAAACTTACTAAAAAAAAAAAGGTGTCATAAGACAGTTAACTTTTGAAGATGAATATAAGTTTAATTTAAAAACTGGATAATGTCTTCTGTTACAGTTCTGTATGACACGGTGTCTGCCTGTACTGTTTGTACATCTGTTTCAGGATCTGGAACATGCGCGTAAGAACATTAGTTAACTTTTTAACTTCAGCTGTGCTTAACATTACAGTGTAAGGCGTTTCCTTTCTTTTCCTGGTACTGTTCCCTGCAGGAAGGTCTTCGCGAGCCTGAGGACATTGTGATATGGCCATAAAATGTTAGCTTTCGTCTTTTTTGTGTGTTTTTTTGTGTGTTTTTTTTTGTGTTTTTTTTTGTGTGTTTTTTTACAGTGATCACCGTGGGCCCAGTTGCCATTGTAATCTAGCTTCCAATGTCATCGTTTGAGTTGCGGTCTTTGTAGACTAATATTGTAGTAAATTTATATTTTAACAAATCAATGTACCCTTTCAGGCCTTTCGATCTATAGCGCAGATGGTGTAAAGGTCATCTGTTTCTGTGGCCCACGGTTAACGAGGGTGCAATGTGGCCAGCAGAACAACCAACCGACTTGACGTTACCCCACTAATGGCAGGTACCCATTAGTATTGGGTGGATTTAGAGGAGCCCTAAAATCCCGAAATTCAAAATCCGTGTCCTCACCAGGATTCGAACCCGGAGCCCTTGGCGCAAAAGTCAAACGCTTTACCACCCGCAACCGCACCTCCGAATGTATATAGAATACTCAGAAAACGTGTCTCTTTCAAATGATTTATTGAACACGAATGACAAATCTGTTCATAACAACGCAGTACACACAGACACAGACTTTAAGCAAGCTTGTCACACCAGTACCAGTCAATTCACAAATTTACAATAAATATCTAATCTCCTACTGCTGCATCTGAATTCCACTGCTTGCATCTTCGGTCTAGTTCTGCAGTTAGTGTTCAATACTCTTCAACATACAAGAATTTGGTCATAACCAAACCGTGCATCAGTCAGATAGTTTAAAAGTTCCCCTTTCAGACCTTGTGGTCTATAGGGCAGATGATCTAAAGGTCATCTGTTTCTGTGGCCTACGGTTAACGAGAGTGTCATGTGGCCAGCACAACGACCAACCGCCTTTACTTTTCCCCAACTAATGTCAGGTACCCATTAGACTCAGAGGCGCCCAAAGATACCGAAATTTAAAATACCAATCTTCACCAGGATTCGAACCCGCTTTACTGCTGAGCCACCGCTCCTCCGCCATCATTGTGATATTTAGTTCAAAACCCTAGGCTCAGTAAATCTAAACTCTATTATATATTACATATGTTACACAACTCCACCCTAAGTAAAATCACTAAATTTACAAAGCCTTCAGGGTAGAAGACTTAAAAGTAAAGTAGCAATTAAACATAAAACACTGAACCATAATCTTCAAATACAAAAACAAAATCTAACAAGGTTATAAAAGACAGTTTGTGTGGAAACACAAACTCAAAATCGGACCCGAAGTGGTCCACCCAGGCAGGATTTAATATTTTCAGAAAGAACATCCAAATGAAATTATTTCAAAGACAAATGAGAGAGAAGAATGGAGAAAGATCTTGTGTAGTGCCCCAACGGTCCCGCGGATAAAAGAATAGTTGAAAGTGAATGCAAATTTAGATGTGAACCTGGCCTAACTAGTTCACAGATGATGTAAAGTTCATGTTTTTGTGGCCTACGGTTAAAGAGGGTGTCATGTAGCCAGCACAACGACCAACCGCCTTTACTTTTCCCCAACTAATGTCAGGTACCCATTAGAGCTGAGTAAACGCAGGGGCTCCCAAAGTTGAAAATCCCAGTCTTCACCAGGATTCGAACCCAGGACCCCCGGTTCGAAAGCCAGGCGCTGGCCCCTGGCCTAAAAGATGTCTTATAATTGATCTAATTGTTTTGAAAGGCTCAATCTCTTTTCTTTTTTTATCTCTCTTCTTTTCTTTTTTTAGGAATCTCTTTTTGGAGTCTTTTCAAAAATTACAATTTTTGCATTGAAAAGAATTTGTAGAAAAATGAGGTTTACAAGATTACTATTCGTTTTAAATAAGGTCTAATTTATATTGCATACTAATTAGCTTTTTCTCTTTAAAAAAGTGCCTGCATAACTAATTTTTAAAAAAAGGAGCCGTTGCATCAGAACTTTGAATGGTCTAAAATAATGTGATGTTGGATTTTCAATCATCATCATCAAACTCCATTAGAGTGAGGGCTTGACAGACTCAAATACTCTCTTGCAAAAGCCGTGGACAGAAACCCTGCTTGGATTTTCAATATCTTTTCTAGTTTACGAGATCTAAACGGGATGGACGGACAAACGGACAGACATTTCGCACAAAACTAAGAGCGTCTTTTCCCCTTTCGGGGGCCGCTAATAAACTAGAAAGACACAAAGATAAAGGCATATTCCTCGTTCCATATGCTAGGACAAATTTGAACAAACTCCTTCTTCCCTAGTGCTATTAGAGCATGGAATGGGTTGCCTGAGCTAGCCACGAGAACCAGTGACTAGGCAGAATTTAGGTGACTGGTTAATATGCATGACAAAATGCATGACGCGTAGGACGTAATCATCTTCTTTTTTGAAATAACGTCTGTATTATATAAGATAATGTGGGCCAATGGAGTTTTGTTGAATTCTGAACTGCATAAACCATTTTCTACAGCGCTCTATGTATTCTTGTTTTAAAAAACGTAGGTCAATAGGTCTAAACGGCCCCATTTGAAATGTCAAGAACAATCGAAACAGATTTTATAGTGATCGTCGTAAGCTGATGGTTATAACTATTAATGCCGTAAATTCGTTTATTCTATAAATGTTCTTCTATCTTACCTTTAGTACCTACACCAGCTACATCGCCTGTCTGAAGGGGATGTTATCAAACAGCGGCTGTTCTTCTCTTCATATAGCTGAAGTCGATACAGCCCTTGCTGCAGCTGAAAGCGCTATGAAACGGTTGTGTCCAAGTGAGTACTTAAAACTAAATTTAACCAGACAATTTAATGCACCACTTCTCAGACTTAAAGCAATAACCCTACGAAGCTATGCATCATTGCGCCTTGCAGATCTAAGTTGTTTGAACAATCCTGCTTAATGGGAGATTTTCACGATATCATTTCAATTCTCAGTATCTGAATAATTTTGAATAAAGAAATCAAGGATTTCAACTGGATATTAATTATAAGTTTGTACAAGAAGCAAACTAGCTTGGAAATTTTACAGTAGTAAAAGCACACTATTTCTCTGTTACCTTCTATAATGTATAACTAATTAACACATCATAATTTCTCTACATTAAAATTACAGAAAACAAAAAAAAAACATTCGTACCAGACTAACTCGATATTTACACGTAGAATGTTTATATCAGAAAGTTTAATTCTATTTAATGACCCTATTACAAAGTGGGTCAAAAGAGTTTATGAGTCCGTTTTCGCTATCAGTATATTGTATCTCTTTTGTGATGGTAAAATCTTGACCCAGAGTTGTTGTTTTTTTACAAAGATTATATCGACTCACTTTGTCTGTATGGCAAAAAGTTTGCACACGTTATTTCTCCGACACCCCATCTCGGATCAAGCTGAAAGTTCGCTCAATTATTTCTTTTACCTGAGAACGCAAGAATCAATTTTAAAAAAAAATAACTAATTAGTTATTGGTAATTAATTAGTTTGTGAGGTATCTCAAACATGATATATTTTAAGGATATATGTCGCCGCTCTAAACTTAAACAAACAATGTATAAGTATATAATCCTCTCTACTCGTACATACCTCAATAGCAGAGTGGTTAGCGCGTTCACCGGAGGAGGCGTGAGGCGCGATTTCAAATTTAGGTCCTTCCCCTCCCCCCCCCCCCTTTTTGTGAATGCTTTATAAACGAATAACGGTCAAGTCCACCCTGACATCCCTTTCTTTCTTCACAAGATAAGAGATAGATCCTAGCATATTGAGAAAGCTATGATACGAAATAGTGCTAAACAAAAACAATTGGTAAAAATATTATAAATCGCACAGATACATTATTGTTGGTGGTAGTCTAGATCTATTACAAATTTAATTCATGACTGATCCAGACTAATTGATACAATTACACTTTAAGCTTTTGTTTGGTTTTAAAAAAGTATTTTTCAAGTTGTTGTTTTTTTTTAATATTTCAGACACTTCTGTTGCTGGAAATGGTACAACTGCTGCTACGACGTCCATGTTGCTCTTACTGACACTTCCGTGTTTAACCTACATTCTAAGTAGAAACTAACAAATGTTTTCATGTACTCCTAACGTCTAAGTAATGTTGTATGTCAACTTTGTAGTGTTAGACTTTGTTCAACACTGTTGGATCCATTCATCGTGTTTTTTCAAATATTTCAATAACAGGAAAAATATAAAGCAAACATTTTATAATAATAATAATATAATTTCATTAAATTTATAGAGCGCTGTGAACATGCATAATGTAGACCCTATGAGATTTTTCCATGGCGAATAAAACATCACATATCTTGAACATTTGAGGATTAATTTGTCTTTGTAAGATAGATCTATGTAGACCGTTAGTTAGTTTTAGTCATTTTAAATCGAACGTGATTTACCGGTTGTGTTGTTATAATAATAGTGTTCTGTAATGTATTGTAAAGTTAGATGACGGATGTAAATTTTTTTTTTTACAATGTTTAGGAGTTTAGTGCTTAGATCAGAGCTTCCCAAACCTTTTTCTTTAACGCAACATTCTTAGAATTGAGCGAACACTTTGATTTTTTTTGGTTGGATTATTTCTTATTCCGTTAAGTAAAAAAATAATAATAATATAGCCCTATACTAGAGTTACTGGGTTTTTTATTTAAAGTTAAAAAACTATAATAAAATACAGACATACTAACCATAAAAATAAAGGCTTGAGCACTTACACAGGGACCGATAATTACAATAATAAGCTGAGTTCTAATATCTCGTTTGTCTCAAGCTTGTCATTATATCTTGTCTTTTGTTTCAACAAAATAAGAAAATGATGTTTCTCACAAATACATTGTAGGTTACTACAAGTTTTTGCTTTAAACTAGTGTGGAACTCTTCAGACAAATAAGACTAGAAATCATTAAAAGTAGATCTTGGTATCCTTGTTTCAAATAAGGGTCGAACCTAGATCAGTTCAAAGTTTATAATGCTTTTGTTACAGGGATGTTTCCGGAGCCAAATGTATTAGCCACATTATGTAGTTGCGTTGTATTAAATCTATAAGAAACAATGATACATATCTATGTTTCGTACGTGTTTTTATGTTTAAATTTTTTTTTGTTTAGACTTGCAAAGATTTGTGTCCATTACATTTGGGATTTAAGTTTGTTCTGCAATTTTTGTTATTCTACTAACAATATAATGTGTATGAGTGTTATAATATTGACCAACAATAAAATAAAACAATTATAGAATATCAGTGTAGATTGTAATTATATTACAATATTAAAAAACAAAGGATTATATTACTTGTACTTGTAACAATTAGTTATGGACAGAACAGAAACCCCCTTTACAAAACGAATGCTTTTAAATAATTTTTTTTAATTGACATAATGAAAAATATCAAACACATATGACATAGACATAATGTAATATCATTTCAGTTTATAATTCACAAGTAGACATAATATGTAGTATAAAATAATTTATATCCCTTAACAGATTTGCTTATTACCTCCCTTTGTTGATATACCCAAACTAAAATTAGCTTTTCTAACATCGAAGAAAAGGATGGTTTTTTTGCTCGTGCGACATGTTCGTTGAACCGTAGTGATTGTCCCGGGTTCATACCCTGAAACAGTCTCAACACATTGGGAAATGTTTACCTTACAGTCTCAACACATTGGGAGATGTTTACCTTACAGTCTCAACACATTGTGAGATGTTTACCTTACAGTCTCAACACATTGGGAGATGTTTACCGTACAGTCTCAACACATTGGGAGATGTTTACCTTACAGTCTCAACACAATGGGAAATGTTTACCTTACAGTCTCAACACATTGGGAGATGTTTACCTTACAGTTTAAACAGTTATCTGCTTATAACACAAACTAAGAAAACTAGAAGAACTATTCAACTATCAATACGAAGCAGTGGAATTGAGGTGCAAAAGCAATAAAATGATCGGTCGAATGGTTAAGCGCTTGGCCTCCGAACCTGGGTCCTGGGTTCGAATCCCGATGAAGACTAGGATTTTGAATTTCGGGATTTTTAGGGACCCCCTGAGTTCACCCAACTCTAATGGTTTATGGGTACCTGACTTGTTGTTCGTTGTGCTGGCCACATAGCATCCTGTTCGTTAACCGTTGGCCAAAGAAACAGATGACCTTAACATCATCTGCCCCATAAATCGCAAGGTCTTGGAAAGGGGAAACTTTACTTACTTACTTTAATATGATTACTGACTCACCCGCATTTCAAATGTTTCGGCATCGTCAACATCATCGAATTATAGGATGCACTTCTCATCATTGTGTGTCCTAATTACTCTGTCCTGTATTGGTGTAACAAAAGCTTTCAGTTTCAGGGTAGAGATGACCTGCTTTGAGCAATGTAAAGGACGCAGCCTTGTCATTGTTGTCCCAATGTAATATGATCAACGAGGAGTGCAGTATTTTACGTGGCTACGAAGCACCAGCTGCGACCCACAATGTTGGCCACAGCCTACGCAAGAATAACCTATGTATGTCGGTGGTCGATTTAGATTCTTTTATCGCTTATCGCCGTCTGTCCTCGGCATTGGATTTTCTTTTGTGTATCCCGAGGCCTTTGTACAAAAATTACAGCTATCTCGTTCTGAAGCCGCCTGCAGTCAGATGCCCACTTCTATGTCATTCGGTGCCTAAGCTGGTCTTTACACCGTTTCTGTGGGACATCTCTGTTACGTCTACCACCTTTCAGCTCACAAAAAAAGACTGCCTTTTGCAAACGTTCTTCCCCCCATGCGAGATAGTGCTTTGTCCAGCGTAACTGTTGGACCATAAGAAGTCCCTCTATTCTGTCCATACCGGCGTGTTCTGTCTGGGGACTTCAGAGACTTTCTTATCTAATAGTTATGTACATTGACATTTAGAGCTAAAATAACACGAAAGCTACTTTTCGAATTGGGAGTCTTTACCCGATCCAAAATAAGTAAAAATATTTCCTCAACAAAGTATTCAAACGAGCGAGGCTCGGTCACCTGGTATTTAAGTAACAAATTAAATAGCAATTAATTGTATTTCTTTTCTAGTTTGATTTGTAAAGGCATTTGTTAATAGTGTTATGGCCCCTGAATTGCCCACCGTGATTAGGCGCGAGATTGTGCACCATGAGACACAGAGCAGAGACTGGGAAAGGAGATCTCTCATCTGGCCATGGTCCCTTGACAATTGTCGTAGGGGTGCTGTGACAGTTCGTGTAACCAAATATGTCCTTTTTTCCTGGTCAGCAGCTGTTGTTAGCAGGATATCATGACAGGGGGCGCTCCATTCTTGTACGTTGACCATTACATGATTATAGTAAAGGAGAAAAAGGCCGATGATTAGGATGTAATCAAGAAAGTAGTGTTGGTACTACTTATTACTGTAGTTCACTACTTGTTATTAAACTAGTACTATTCGTGTTATTATATTACTAAACTAGTGTTGTTATACAATCCTCTGCCTAAGATTTGTTTATTCGTCCGTTGGCTAGGTTCTGAATCATTATTGCTTTTTTTTTTTTCTTAATTGTTTCGTCAATAATTTGGATTTTTTAGTAAAAGTGGTGATTTATTATGCTAATACTTTCTCGTAAACACGGTCCTGCTTCTTGATTCCTTTTTTCTGCAGATGACTTTTATGGCAGACGAGCGGAGAGAAACAATTATTGTGTGTTGAGCCCAAGAGTTAATGGCGGTATAATGAGATTTTATAAATAGAACATTAGTCAGTAGCTATTTTTAAGTAGCTGTCCCATTGCTGAGCTTGTTAGCACAACTAATGTTTAACAAACTGTGAAGTCGAGACAAATAGGAAGGAAATACTTCAATTTCAAGCGTCTCTAATCAAATTTTTATTTTAATCTCAATTTTCCCTTGAAATCACGTGCGCAGTTAAAAATTGTTTAGTATCGTAGTGGACTTTGGGTAAGTAAAAGACCTACGTGGTCAAAACTTTGTTTAGATTTAGTTTGGTATCTTAACTCTTCGTTTTTAGAAAGCTTATATCAACTCACTCTGTCCGTCTGTCTGGTAAAAAGTTTGTACATGTGATTTCTTCGTCACCCAATCTGAGCATAAGTTTGTTGATGTTTTTTTTTACATTAGATTTCTGTTTAAAGTTTGTTCTGTAATTATTTTGTAACCGAACATCAATATCATTGAATTATATATACTTTATCTAGACTGGACATGGAGACTTTTTAACATTACAAAAAAATGTGAAAATTTTTGGGAAAGTTGGATCAAGGCGTTGTTTTGTAAAGTAGTTAAAAGAAGTAGAGGCTATTTTTTTTTCCACCCTAACCTATGTAACATATAATTTAATTTTTAGATCTAGATCTAGTAATTAAACATGAAAAATAAGAGTACTCTCGTCTCATAATTATTATTTTGCAATTTTTAGATACATAATCTTCTTTTATCAAAAAACTGAATGCAACACTAAATTGTGATTTTTTTGTATTTTTGATAATCAATTACTAGATCTAGATCTAAAAAAAATAATTATATGTTACATAGGTTAGGGTTGAAAAAAAACAACTTTACTTCTTTAAACTACTTGACAAAACAACGCCTTGATCCAACTTTCTACAAAATGTTCACGATCGATCAGTCGCGGATAAGAATTTATTTCCAGTCTAGTAGTATATAAAAGTCTATGATCAATATGTTGTGTGAGTTTTTGAATTGTCCGAATTCAAAATAAAGGAATGACAAAAACAAAACAATAATGCATTTTTTTCTTCACTGTAAATTGTTTTTTGTTTTTTATTTGTAGTAGCTAAGTTTTAAAAAAATACAATAACTGATAGCTATCACATTTCTTGTTCCATGTTTGGCTCTGCTAGATTAAATTCTTGTAAGTGCTCTTTCTTCCTTAGTGTTATTAGAGAATGAAATGGGTTGCCTGAATCAGCCAGTAAAACCAACGACCTAGCAGAGTTTAAGTCACTGATTTAACAAGCATGGCTAGATTGACACAAGAAATGCCCGAAGACATTTATGTTAGCATATTTATATTTTATAAGATTGTGATTGTAGAAATATTTTTCCATCCTACAGAGAATTCAATCCGTCAGTGACCCTTCAGTGAACTTTTACGTTTGTACAATGGATGGTCAGTAAATGAACTAATTATATCACTTTTAGAATGCGGAGATGTGAAAATTATTAAAAGGCATTTATAAAATAATAAAATGCAATGTAATCAAAACTATATTAAACAATACTATTAGATTAGATACAATATGATACTTTATGTTTGATTCAGCGTAGTCGAGAGGCTAAGTACGCTGATCTTGGCTTGGCTACCAATGTAGAAGGTCGAGGTTCGACACCCGACTTGAGCAGAGTTGTGTTTACTGAGCGCCTAAAGGCAGCACGGAAAAGCCCTCTCCCAGATACTCATTTCCCCCTCCCCACTGGTCCACAAAGGAGAATGGACCAAAGCGCTCTGAGCATGCTATACGCATGAAAGTAGCGCTTTAAAAAAAGTTATAAATATTATTATTATTTAGGGAAAAGAAAATTATATAAAAGAAGCAACAAGTTCGCTGGGGTAGCCCTATTTTTTTCTTTGTTGTACATGTTTCGGATGTTCCTTCAGAGTTGAAG